TATGTTGTATAGACTGTAGCAGTAGTTGACGGCGTTGTTCGTATCGGAGGTAGTCCTTGGTGCTGCTCTTGGGCTCTGGAGGTTTGCCGAGCCATCGGAGACAGAAACGAGGACACTGGAGGACGAATGATTCTAGAGACTCTCGGGCATTATAAGTGAAATCGGCAAAGCCGTCCTTTTCCTTTTTGATCAGAGCAAGAAGAAGTTTCATAGACGCCCTCCTGACTGAGCAGACATTGTTCAGCAGCTCGTCGAGGTCACTGGAATCGCCTCGCAGAGGACCTGAGAGACCAGCCACTACCTCCTCGAGAAGCTTGCCATCATGGCAGTACTTGACCGGGTCCTTGAGCTGGAGAGACAATAGTTGAGCTGAGATCGAGCAAATCTTGGCAACGGAATCCACCTTTGGATCAACCCCTTCCTTGAGTTTCGTCGCCCATGAAACCGCATCTGGCAACTTTCCGGCTTCTCGCGCCAGGACCGCCAACACTTGGTAAATCTGCGAGAGAGGTGTCCTTGAAGCTTGCGAGAGTGTTGCCCCGTGACTATCCAGTTGCGAGCGGACCCTGGTATAAGCTGAGAGGCAAGTAGCATAAGACGTGCGACTGCTCTCCTGGCTCCGACGAACAAAAGCACTCATGTACCGAGACAGAGGCATGATGGTTTCCTTCTCCGCATCACCCTTATGGTTGGCCAACTTCCACCATTGTAGTCTCGTTTCCAAAGCAAGGGCCTGCAGCTCAATAGCAGACACCGGGGATATACTAAGTCGCGGCTCTATGCTGAGCGTGTCGTCCTTGCTGGATGCGCTGGGGGTTAACGAAATCATACATTGCGCCAGCGTTTCCATCTGGCGGGCAATCTTGGAAACATCGGCACCCTTCTCAGTTGCTGACCGGAGAAGGAGAGAAGTTGGCGAGGAGCTATGGTCCTGGCGTAGTATTGGGATGACGGCTTCGATCGCATTGGGCTTTTTGTTCGCAGAAAGGAGGCGCAATGCTTGTATTTGTGTTGTGATGACAAGAGCAAGGGCTGGCCCCGAAGATTTGACTTGACCGAAATCGAGAATCTCTGTATACACTTGCGCCGCCGTCTTGGATGGTTCGGTAGCAGTTGTCTTGGTCGTTTTCTTTGTTGCCGTCGAAGTAGACAGTGTCTCCAGTCTCTTCTTCAAGATGCGCAGCTCCTTGAGAGCTTGGTCCTGTAGTCCTAGTGTGATTAACCTGGCGATCAAAGAAGACATGCCAGTTTCGAGTTGTAGCTCCGGGAGTGTCAGCTTGCTAGATGTTTGTAGCTGGCGCAAGGCACCCAAGGCAACGCGAGCGCATTCGACCGTGGCGAGGAGGTTCGTATCATGTTTCGGTCTGGCTGGCGAAAGGGAGCGCTTCGAGACGGCAGGAGACGTGGTGACCCTGTTAAGGGCGCGAGGTTGTAGAGGAGATAGTGGTGTCGAGTTCGTAGAGCTACATCGTTGAAGCGGGTTTCTCGTCGTGGCTGACCGTAACAGTTCCTCCTCTTGGGGCGCTTGCCTCTTGGTTGGTGTTGGCGGTCTCGTTGTATTTGCCGAGTTCTTTGCGTAGTCGCTCAGGGCGCGAAGAGTTCCGTTGACGACATGGGTGGCCAACGTTGCCTTTTCCTTGGGTGAGAGTCCATCTTCTTTCTTTGTTGACGCGGCGACTTTGGTAGCTGTGTTGTTGGCGCGCGATCGTGGTCTCGTTGTTGATGTAGCCTTTGTTGTTATTGTTGTTTCGGACGTGCTATCGTCTTTGGGTAATACCAGACTCTTGAGGAGAGCTGTGATAGTGGGTGTACATGTTGTCACCGCAGACACGGCGCTGCGCACGGCGTCAGCTTGGGAGTGTATCGTATCCATGAAGCTGTCGTAATGTTAGAGAGAAAGCAGGTCTAATGGGCTGATTCCTAATCATGTCATCGCCTATAACGTAGGGTAGGACTAGGGACAATATCCAAAAGACAGGAAAAGAGTGTAGCGCATGGATCGTAAGGAATCGTGTAAATTGGAATGGAAGCAAATGGTAAGGTGGATCGCGAATCGGTGTCCAAAAATGGAGCTCCCCCGGCCACGAGTCCGGATGCGCAAGACGGGGAAGAGGGAACCCTGTTGGCGGGATGTTGACTTGGTTCGCAACAAAGATTCAACGAGTTGCCCGGGCAACTGCAATGCAAGGTGGACGGCAAGGTACAAAGGGTACGTACCTCGCTTTTGCTGAAGACAGGACGCCCGAAGACGAAGAACGTGGGGCGCATTGGCCAGCAGCATGACAGGAACCCCACTTTTGCCTGCCGTGCGGGACGTCACTTTTGGCATTTTGGTGCAGTGCAATGCAACTGAAGTGAACTTTTGCCGAAGAACGGAAGCTTCGAGTCTTCTCACACTTGCTCTTCAGTTTCTCTTCACCAACACCCAAGTTTCACACCTGCTGCGATCCGTCCCAATCTTGCTCGAGCTTCAACAGCCAACATTCCGATAAACGAAAAACGATTTTACCATGCAACGATCTGCTCTCTCTCAGCGCATCGGGCGCAATGCGCATGCCGCCCTACTCCATCGTCAAGTTCCCTCGACAATTCTCCGAACTTCATTCTCAACCTCGATGCGCGCTGCGAGTGGCGCCCCGGATGTAATCGTCCCCAGAGTCGCCAAAGTGTCGTTTTGGAAGTCGATGGTTCCCAAGTTCCTTCGATTCGGCGATGACTCCGTCCACCACACTAAGATGCCGAAATCGAACGAGTGGAACCCGGCCACCTTCTTTATCATCATTTTTCTAATGATTGGTTCCATGGCTATCCAGATGATCTCGCTCAAAAAGGACTTTGCGGCCTTTTCGCGCCAGGCCGATGTCAGGATCAACACACTGCGCGAGGTGGTGGAGAAGATACAGAAGGGCGAAGATGTGGATGTTGAGAAGGTGCTGGGCACTGGCGTTCCGGAGAAGGAGGCTGCTTGGGATGAAGGTATGTTAATATCGGATGAAAATGGAAAACGGAAAGCATCGGCTGACATTTTTGATCCACCAACAGTCCTCAAGGAAATTGAGCGCGAAGAGATCATGCACAAGGCAAAGCAACAAAAGGCAGCGAAGCTTGCCCAACAAGCCAAGACCGAGGCCGCAAAGGAACAGACCCAAACACAGACCGAGACAACACCCAAGATTTCTCCTGCAGTCCTCAAGGGTGGCTTCTTCTAAGTCGACGAGACATCTATTATTCTATTAAAGATGGACGCCCGTTAGATGACCCGCTCGGAAACACGGTTCCGATGGGCACCTCGGTCACCATGGCTCCATTGTTTGAACTTTTGAGCTCCTCTACGAGCGCCGGTAACAGCTCTTCAGTAGCCATCTCCACTCTAACGCCGTAAGGGCCGGCCTTTTGAGGGTCCAGATCTTCAAAGAACATCTCTTCGCGCCTTACACCACCGATGCTCACAATGGCAATAGGCATTCCTCGAAGTTTAGCCCGCTGTGCCAGCCGCCAGGCCGAGTATGTCGCAAGAGAAGTGCCCAGGATGAGCATTCGTCCGGCATTGTCCACTGCCTGTTCCGCATCATTCTTGACCTCGGCGCTTATGCTCTCTCCAAACATGATCACGGCCGGCTTCAAAACTCCCGCAGTGCTGGTCGGCACCCAGGCACCGTCTTTGTCAATCTCCACCCACGTCTTGGTTCCATCCGCTTTTCGCGGCGGCTCCTTGAGACAAGATGGGCACGCCGGGTAGCGAAACGTGGTATAGGGTGCCTCAGCCAGATCCACATCGCCATCGGGGTTCATCTTGATCCCCCTCTTGTTCCGCTCTTCGATATCCTCGGTCTCCAGGGCGCCCGAGGCCAGCGCCTCTCGCAAAAAGTCGGCCCAGATGGGGTTGAGCCTCGCCAGGGTGGTCTGGTACTCGTCACGGGGAAACTGGTTCCGGCACGATGTACACACAACCGAGGCTAGACTCCCGTGCAATTCGACGGTTCGTATATCCGGATGGCTCATCTTGTGGAAGGAATCGACGTTTTGCGTGATGACGCCCGTGATGCTTTTGTGCTTGTGGTCATTGCTGCCGTAGCGCTGGGCGAGCAGGTCCCCCAGGTCGCGGATCGCGTAGTGTCCCGGATTCGGGCCGGCCCGTCCCAGTCCCCTCCATCCGATGTAGCTGCGTGCCCAGTATCGCTGCCGCGTCTCGTGGCTTGTCAAGAACTCGTGGTGGAAGATGGGCTTGTAGCTCTTGTTGACCCGGTAGGTGCCGTTGACGCCGCGGTAGTCGGCTAAGCCGCTGGCTACGGAAAGGCCGGCGCCGGTGAGGATGACGGTTCGGTCGGGTAAGCCGGACGGCGGAGGGGTGGTGAGGAATGACTTGAGGGCGGCGACGGCGCCGGGGAGGGTCGTGGCGGTGGCAGGAATGATGGTGGTTGGAGGGGGAAGCTCGCGGTAAGGGATCCGCATTCGGAGGGTGCCGGCTGCTGTTGTCGCGAGGGTGGACATCTTGATGTGTTCTGTTGTAGAGTTCGGATCTGACGAACGTTGTATTTATTACTAGTTGGAAAACACTCAGCGGCGCGTGCCGCGTTTTGAAAGTGTCAAGTCTTCATGTTGATTGTGGTGAAAGTTTGTCTCCAGATGCGAAATCGCAGTGGCACTTGGAGAGATCGGTCAGTTGTCATCACGTCACCAAAAAGACAGAGGGAGCTTGGGCCACCTTGGCACTTACCTTACTTCAGCTTTGGAATACATAAGGAACCTTGTTTACTTCAACCCCTTTCGAGAGAAAAGATGCCATTTTCACTCCCCGAAAACACTGAAGCGCTGGAAAAGGTGGAAGTTAAACAGTTTCATGAGTTGTCTTTAACTTATCACAGCACCCTTCGTAGGTATCTCTGTTGCCGTACGTAGGTTTGGTTACACTATCCCGCCCCTCCTTCGCTCGGCGGGGAAGCCTAGCTCCTGTGCTCTCTCACATAAGCTGCAAATCTGAGGCTCGTTTGCAACAAATAAGTCGTATGGTCTAATGGTTATGATTTCTCGTTCACATTAGTTGAATCTGATCCGAGAAGGTTCTGGGTTCGATCCCCAGTACGACTAAGCTTTTTGACTTTTTCTTGTTCTCTATATGGGAGGTCATGGTCCTATCTTGCATCTTGTTGATGATGTTCCAGATTCTCTTTTTTTGCTTCTTTCATCTGATATCTTAACTTTATACAAGAGGTTCTTAAACAGTTAGCCTGTCTTGGGACATGATAGACTCTACGGCATCACTGTGATCTAATGTCAACCTTTGGTTAACTGTGGTCTTAAAGACTTCGTTTAAAATTTGAGTTGAGAACATCTCTGTGCAGGGCTTCTACCAACCTCGATTTTCATCAAGCTATTTGGTCCTTATTAGTTGTGACTCTCTACCTTGTCTGGACCATCATCTACTCCCGCCACTTACTGAGCCGTTCCATTGGGAACATGGCATTGTTGCGTGGCATGGTGCAGTGTCAACAACATACTGGATTGACACTCGATGCTGGACCCTGAACCCCTTTTTGACTTTGTTTGTATCCAGTGTCGCATGTGTTCCAGCAAGTACATGATGGTTCACCCTTTGATATCAGGCAGTTATGCGAACATTTCAACCAGCTGCAATTCGCACAATGCAGTCAGCACAAGGCTATCCTTTAAAATCCAGACTTTCGAAACGGTTGGATCTCGTCCATTGTCAGATGTGAGCGGACGGCGCCGATGATGGTTCAAGGTCCAATTGGCGACATCGAACGTTGGAAGTCGCGGAGACTTGAGAGGGGCAGTGGGGAAGTGGACACGGCTAAAGAGCTCACTTGCTGCCCTGGAACATGCGCCGAAGCCAAGCTGAACAGGGACGGGTCCCCGCCGACTCAGCCGCGCCAGTCCGGGATGGCCTAGTCAGTTTAGCAAGTCGTCGCAAGTCGTCGCAAGTCAACCGACAGTCGCTCCTGCAGCCAGGGCCAAGTATCGGTCAAGTACCCGCCTTTCTCTCTATGCTAACCTCCTGCTTTATTACTGGCAGGTACCCCATCGGCCATCGGTATCGATTCCCCAAACCACCAAAACAACTTTCCCCCCCTATCTTCAGCTCTTCACTTCCACTTACTAAGTAATCCATAATCGAGTCCGTCCCAGTCCAGAACGGAATTACACTCTCTACACTTCTTATTACCTTATTCCTTACCACCACAGCTACCAAGCTAGCAGCTTACTGCCCTAATCCCTCCCGATGTCCGGCCGTTTCGTCAGAGCGTCGAAGTATCGTATGTCGATCCCCCGTGTTTCTCCCTACCTAGTACAACACCACCAAGCGAAGTTGGAGCTGGAGCTGGAGCTGGAGTTGGACGGGTAGCTCTAGACTCCAGAGGGTAGCGCCGTATCCACGATAGGAATTTGCGACAACCTAAGTCGAAAGGAGCTGACACGATGGCCGCGACTCTTACTAGGACATGTCTTCGGCAAGCCCACGCGCAAGGAGTTCTGCTATGATAACCTTCGCATCAGTCACAATGCCTGGGATACCAACCTCATAAAGGTACCGTGCCTACCTAAACCATATACATTACCACCACTTGCGCCCTACCGATAGCTTCCATGGTCACATCACATACTTACCTCGTCTCGACCATAACTAGGCCAACCCCGAGTACTTGGCCGTCAACTGGGAATCTAGCGGTGGTGGTGCCTTCGCCGTCATCCCCCTCAACGAGCGCGGCAAGCTTCCCGACCAAATACCGCTGTTCCGTGGCCACACCGCCGCCGTCCTCGACACTGACTGGTACGAATATCTTACATGCGCCACAACCACTCAACCACATAATCTGACCTAAGACCCTCTTAGGAACCCCTTCAACGACCGCTTGATCGCCTCTGCTTCCGACGATGGCAAGGTGTTCATCTGGCAAGTTCCCGAGAACTTCACCCTCTACACGGACGCCGAAGAGCCAGCCGATGTCTCACCTCTCAGCAAGCTCAGTGGTCATACCAGGTACGAATCCTGCACACGAAATAATATCCGAGGGCATTGCGCTTACACACATACAGAAAGGTCGGCCATGTCCTCTTCAACCCCGCCGCCGAAAACATCCTCGCCTCGAGCTCCGGCGACCTGACGGTCAAGTTCTGGGATGTCGAGACCGGTCAGGCCCCCATCACCCTCAAGCACCCCGATATCGTCCAGTCCCTCTCTTGGAGCGCCAACGGTACCATGCTTGTCACCACCTCCCGCGACAAGAAGCTGCGCGTCTGGGATGTGCGCCAGCAGTCCGCCGTCCACGAATACCAGGGCCATGAGGGTGCCAAGAACAGTCGTGCTGTGTGGTTGGGCGAGCACAACCGTATCGCTACCACTGGTTTCTCCAGGATGAGTGATCGTCAGGTTGCCCTCTGGGAGCCTGGCAGGAAGGACCCCATCGGTGGTTTCAACTCGCTTGACTCCATCTCTGGTGTCTGCATGCCTTTCTGGGGTAAGTCATTTTTGAATTAGGATTATTGTATGCGCTGAAGCTAACTGTCATCCGTAGATGACGGCTCTAACTGCCTGTACCTTGCTGGCAAGGGGTAAGTTTATTGCGACCTGGGACAAGCACGATAGCATACTAACTTTCGCAGTGATGGCAACATCCGTTATTTCGAGTATGAGAACGACAAGCTCGAGTTCTTGGCCGAGTACAAGTCCGGTGACCCCCAGAGAGGTATCGCCTTCGTTCCTCGCCGCGGTGTCAACGTCCACGAGAACGAAATCATGAGGGCCTACAAGACCGTCAACGACCAGTATATTGAGCCCATCTCTTTCACCGTTCCTCGCCGCGCCGAGACCTTCCAGTCCGATATTTACCCCCCTGCGACCGGCCTCAAGCCCGCTGTTTCGGCCAAGGAGTGGCTCGACGGCAAGGATGGCATCCCCGCCAAGATCGACATGGAGAGCATCTACGAGGGTACAGCACCCAAGGAGGTTCCGGCCGATTACAAGCCTCCTACTGCCGTCTCGTCTCCTGCTCAAGCCCCCGTTCCCAAGAGGGAGTCTACGCCCCCACCTGCTGCCCGCTCGCCCCCGCCGACCGTGTCCGACCAGAAGGCCTCTATGTCGGCTATTGCGAACAAGTTCCAGGATAACGAGGACGCTGAGCCAAGCGAGGGCGAGTCTTCTCCCTTCGAGGAGGTTTCGCGCCCCGCTCCTAGGGCCGCTGCCCCGGCTTCCGTGCGAACATCTATTCCTCCGGCTGCCGCCAAGCCGCCTTCGCCCACGGCCTACCAAACCCCAGTTCAGAAACTTGCCTCGCCTGTCAGGACTACGGCCCCCGCACCTGCTCCGGCCACATCATTCCCCGCTGCTGCTGCCGCTTCTTCTGCCGTTGGGTCCGTCGAGGCTTCTCTTGCGCAAATCACGCAGCTTCTTGAGCAGCAGAGCAGGATCATTGGTGCGCAGAGCGACAAGATCCAGGCCCAAAGTCAGATCATCAGCCATCTTGCGACTGAGGTCGAGACCCTCAAGAAGAGGGTCGGACCCGGACCGCAAGACCAGAGCGAGAGAATCAGGCAGTTGGAGCTGGAGCTCGAGGCTGCCAGGTCGTAGGAGTCTGAGTTTTGAGTTTTGGTTCAGTCCTGCAGCGCTACACTGTCAGACCAGTTCTTGAACATATCTCTCGGTTTTATAATGAACGTCAATGTTGGGGTAGGTAATTGTTGGACATGAAAGAAGGGGATGATGATTGGACGCCGATGAGCTTCAAAAGGGGCATGAACGAAAAAGCAAGCAACTTTTATGAAGAAGGAGAAGACGAAGGAAAGAGCATGCATAGCCAAGGCAAGCAAGGGAAAGCGATTCAATTGGTGTCTATGGAGTTCTATAGTAACTAGTTTCTTCTATAACTTGTTTCATGCTTTGTATAATGTCAGGTAGTGTGCGCTCTTCCTCAGTTGTTTATATAGGGAAGTTCTTTATCTAGCTAGTAGGTAGGATATGAAAGTACTACCGTCACCAACTTCATTTCACAACTATGAGCTTCAAGGATCAGATAATTCCCGTCACGCAAGTCTTACCCAGTTAAATCGTTCTAACAGTTCTGTTTTCCTGCATTTATCTAAGAAAAAAGTTCTTACTGTATTGGTACACCCCACTCATCCTGCCTGGATCAGGACGTTCTCCCTTCCCCCCCCTTTACTCTTTGCTCAAGACTCAACTCACATAACAACATCCCCCCCAAACCCAACCGGCCTCCTCCGTCCTTCGTTTTCGGGAACAATAGCCAGCGCTTTATATACCCTTCCCATCCCATTCGGCCCTCTATCCACTAATCTCTTCCATGCCTTTTTTAAATCCTCCGTTTCTTTCTCAGCCCCCTTCTCCTTCAAGCTCTTCGCAAGCATTTCCACCCTCTGTTCTCCTCCCAATCCCTGAAGTAACCAACCCTGCTCCACCGGCCCGTGTACTTCAACCCCCTCACTAGCATTCGTAGTCGCTTCCGCAATAGCTTCAAAGTCCACGTCCGCGCTCAGGTCCGTAAGTCCCGGTTCGGCAAAGGGGGAGACCAGATTATGTTTCCTGATGCCACGGAGGGAGTTTACAGGCACAGAACCGTCGCCGGGGCCATAGTCAAGTATCAGCGCGGCACCGCGCGGAGATGGTTTGGGATGTCGAGACGAGCCGCCGATTAGGGTTGCTATGGACGTGGAGACGAGGTAGGTGTCGGGACTGATTTCTATGATGGCGCCTGCTCCTTTGGGTGTTCCCTCTGGTAATCTTGATGAAGATGAGGATTTAAGGGCGCGGTAGCGGGGGGAAAGCTCGGGGAGGTGGAGGGAATGGCGAGTGGGAGAGGGGGATAAGGTGAGTTGGAAATCGGGGGGAGGAGTTAGGTGAGGGTTGTGAGATGGGGGTGTACGGAGGGAGGAGTGGGTTGAACCAGGGGGTGTGGGGGAGACGAGGAGCTCACGCCATTCGAGTGTTGGTCCTGTCGTTCCGGGAGGAGATTTGGGTTGTTTGGGCCCGGAGGTGGTGATGGCTGATACTGGCGAGTCCTCTGGGGTAGAGGAAGGAGGGATAGAAGGAACTTCGACGAGTTGGAAGGCGTGGA